AAAGGCTCAAAGTCCCCGGCAACGCCAGGGCAGGGCAGCTGCCACCTCACAGCTCCCCTGCGCCCCGGAGTTGGGGTGCCTGGATTGATGGGTCCCCCAGGACAGGGGGGGTCCATGCGGGCAGTCGGAGCCCAGGCTGCTCCCGGCTGGAGCCCAGCACCATCCGCACGTGTGAGCACCGACCAGGTCAAGACCTTGGTTTTCCTAGCAGGTTAAGGGAAAAAAAAGAGAGGAAGAAAACAAAGCAACTATCTACATTTCTCCCCAAAAGCAAAACAGACCCCTCCCTTCAGCTATTTCCTATCATACTAAGAGTTTCCAGGATGGTCGAACCAACAATAAATAGAGGGTGAGGCCTTGGGAAATGCCAGACTCGGAGCTTTGGAGCTGTTGAATGAATCCGTGGTCTTGACAGCCCAGCAGCTCCCCTCTGTCCTGTCCAGGGCAGCAGGAACCCCTCGCGCAGATCCAGAGGCCAAATCCTAAACCGAGCGCACCGTTCTCCCTGCACGCATACGTGACTGAGAAAACTCAGTGCCATCCAGAAGTCAGCATTTGTACATGGCAAACAAAAGAGACAAAGCTGGAACTGGAGCTCTGCGGCTGCTGCGTCAGAGGGTGGCTCTGACTCTGGCAGCCCAGAAGAGCAAGTGAGAGAAATCAAGGCCAAAACATCTAGTGTACAGACATCTTTAAAGCATCTCCTTTCTGCTAGGTGCAAGTGTGACATATAAGATGCAAATCAATTGTCTTCTAGCTTCTTGCTGCGTAAGCCCTGACTCTGAAATAACTAAAGAGAATGTGAAAACCACTTGAAACAGGGAAGGAAAATGGGAATAGTTGTTGTGTGCAGTGAAGCTGTCCGAGTTCCCAGGGGGGCATCCAGCACACGGACAGGTCACTTGGTGACTTAGCTACTAACGGCCTGACGCGGGGCCCAGGGAAAGCCCTGGGAAGACCCGCTCTGGTCTCAGCAGCACGGGGTCACACTTGGCCTCTACAGCCACTGAAGCCAATGGAAATACATTGAACGGATGAAGCTGGGAACTCGCAAAAATCATTGAGGCACAGGGCTCCAACCAACAGCATCGATGCCAGGGGACATCTCCCTTGGTGTTTGCGCTTTGTTCTCCGTGACGGTCACTAGATCCACGGGTAATGAATGACAAGACGTTGGTATCTCATTTATCTGGTCAGTTGTGCCCAGAGGGATTTATCACAGTAATTAATGCTCGATAGCTGAAACGTGAGAAATACGGAAACCTCAGGGCAGCATCTCTGCGGGGAAACCCAGGGAAGCGTTGCTGTTCGTCAGGACCTGGTAGCCAATATGCTGTTTTTCTTATGGGTAAAAGGCACCAGCTAACCAAGGAAATCCCTCTGCTTGCCTCCCGCGGCCCCCTGCAACACCCCCTGTCCCCAGCCCAGGCTCTTCGCAGGTTTGGCTTCAGGTGGCCCCCCCAGGCAAGCCCCAGCGCTGGCTCGGAGGCCAGCAGTTATCCTTGTCCCTGGACACGTCCGTGACCTCCTTCAGCCACAGTCCTCATGCCACCACTCGCTGCCAAACGTCGTGTCCCTCGCCACTAAGACAGGCAGGTTTTGAAGCCAGGAAAATCCCTTTTTCCCTTGCTCTGCCCCAGGGAGCCATGCCAGCCGCAGCGACTGGCGCTGCGGAGACATGGGGAGATGCCAATTAGAGGCGAGATGAAAGGGTAGGGAAGTCCTTTGAGCCCGTCAAGGGAAAACACAGAGAAAACATCCCCTGAGCACTTGGCAAATCCCATCTCCCATCATGGCAAAGGCCAGGAGGAAAGGATTGAGTACGAGGAACCGCATTGCTCAGCTCACACCCCCACCTTCCAAGGTAGCCTCAAAGCACAGACCTAATTTATCTTCCTTTAATCACAGGTCAAGAAAGAGTCACCAGGGGGTGGATGGACACACCCTGGGCCTTGGACACATAAACTGCTGTCTTGTTTTTTCAAGCGTTGAGATAAAAGGCCATAAAATTCAGCTCAATATTAACATCCTGTGCAAAATGCTTGTGAGAAATGTGCAAGTGGTCATCCCTCAATTTCAAAAGTGTCCTCTGGAAGGGAAAACGCCACTTTCACTTCGGAAAAACTGCAGGGGTTTGTTTGGATTTTCAGGACGACACCAACAACTAAAAGCTGTTCAGTTGCGCAAAACCAAGGAATAAAGCGAGCAGCTCCTGGCTGCACACAAACATCCTATCCCACCCCAGACCACCACTCCAGCATTTCATCCCGGTCTCCTCCCGCTCCCCCAGCCTTTGCCTGCAGCCTCGGCACAGCCGACAAACCTGCTCCAGAAAGACCCCGGGAACCCCCGAGCTTGGAGAAGCCCAGGCTGGGTACCTCATCCTCCAAAACCAGGGGATCCTACAAAGAAACCACTGGAGCAACGAGACAGAGGACAGGGTTGGAATGGCAGAACTTCCTCACCCTGTCCTGTCTCATCCTCACCCCAGCAGCTCCGTGCTGGGAAGGACAAGGCTGAAGTCAGGCATCGCCCCAGGGCAGATGGGGGAGAGGGACCAAGGAGCAGGTTATGACCAGCCACGAGCCCATGGTGGGAGCCTGGTCCCAGCTGCCATGCGGGGGACACCCAGCAGGTTGGGGACACGCGAGTGGGAAAGCGAGGGAGATGCTCGAGCTCCCCAGCGCAGCCTTTCCTCCCTCCAGTGGGCATTGCCCCTTTTCTGGCTGCAGACCCCCCGTCCTGCCGAGGGGTGCATTGGGGCTGTGTAGGGCAATGATGCCCTGGTAGACGGGAGGCATCTGGAGGAGCACCTGCTTGCCCATGTGTGCTGAGGACCACGGCACTGGCAGCGTGCCGGGGCAGGCAGGCAGTGCTGGTCAGCGTGATCAGCCTCAGCATGGGGCTGGGGGTCCCGAGAGAGAGCTAATAGCGATGGAGGCAAAGCAGAAAGGCAGCTGGGTGCCTCCCCCAGAGACCCCGGTCCCACTCCCCCATGGGCAGCGCAGTGACAGCCACGGCGGCTCAGGTAGGCTCAGTTCTCACGGGCACAGGGATCAACTCATGCTCCCTCCCTCCCTGGGCTACTCCCTCCCCGGCACATGGAGCAGCGCAGAGCTGCCAGGGACCGTGCTCTGAGACCTAGAAATTATCAAGCCAGACCCCAGGAAACTGTGAAAAACTTGATCCGCAAACCAAAGCATCACTTAAACATGAAATTGTATTTGTCTTTGACTTTGTTTGTCTTCCCCATCCATTTCCCCTCTTTCCCCAGGAGCACCTCTGAATCCCAGAGGCTCCATGCGAGTGTCACCATTTGTTGTTTCCAGCAAGAAGGGGGATCTCAGCTCCCCGGTTGAGCTCCAGACCCCAGTCACAGTCCCTGGCATCCTCCAGCAAAGGGCAAAACACAGCGGGACCCGGCCCGGGGACCCGCAGGGAGCTGCCAGGAGCTGGACGGGGAGCGGCTGACACCACCCTGCGCTGGCCAAGGACTGGTGGCTGTGGTACCATTTCCTCCCTCTGCACCCCACGTTCGGGCAGGGGGGAACCCCAGGGGGCAGGCAGGAAGGTCAGGACCCTCCCTGCAGGGCTGCCCAAATGCCAGCACAACCCTGGGACCCCCCCCTACACTGCTCCCGGCACATTCTCTGCTCCTTTGGCCCCACAAAACTTTTCCTCTCCCTCCCCTCCATGGGTGCTCCTCATTCCCTTTTTCCCCCCACATAACCCGCACCTGTCGGCTCCCTCGCACCAATCCTTCCGTCCATTTCCCCATTTACCATCCGTTGCAGATCCACCAGCTCCCAAATACCCCAACACCTGGGGTTCAGCAAAGCCCACCGCGAACCCCTACTCCCCCATAGCCCTTTTCTCCATCCCTCCCCTCGCAGGGGGTTGCCGGCAGCCACCCACTCTGCAAAACAACCTCCGTG